ATAAAACAATCACTCTTTTGATATGTGTATATGACCTTTTCTTGGAAACGAAGATACTTCCATCCTTCCGTTGACACGGTCGTACCATCATTACACAAGCCCTTCCTGCTGAACTCTCACTGACTATTATCAACCAGGGCCTTCAAATAAAATCACTAAAGAGCTTTAAGGACTATTTTGGACTTTAGAATCCCAAATTCCAAGGTACTAGAAAGAGGGATAAAAGGTCAGGATCAAGATCAACTAAGCATCCACCAACTGTCACATCTTGTTTTCTTCTTTTTTTCGTTCTCATAAGGAACTCATTAATCATATCATAACCTGGGACTAAAAGGTTCTTATACACAAAGATCAATTTGTGGCTAAAGAATATGTATAGTGAACATAGGATAATTATATATTTGCATATAGTTTACATTGATTACTAACCTGTGTCGCATGAATTTGGATGTCTATCTAGAAATATCTGATTCCTCGAAGGAAAATAAGGTCTTGTAAAAGACAATTAAACTATATGGACCATAACTTTATGTGTAAAGTACTGAAATCTTAAATTTTGTATCTTCTCTATGACCGCCTAACTGTGGTCTTCCTTGCTAATTGGTCAATAGTAATAAAGACCAAGATATGCAATACCGTACCGTACCGATGTTTCGAGGTTGGCTCGGTATGATACGATACCGGTATATCGAGCGGTACACCAGGGTGTACCGAGCACTATAGCAATGTAGCACTGCTACAGTATAGTACTGTAGTACTGCTACAGTGTAATACAGTAGCTCTGTAGCGGTACCGGGCAGTCCGCGTACCGGTATGCCGTCGGACCGGTACGTACCACCCGTACCGGGCGGTATCATTCGGTACTGCATACCATGATAAATACTATATATCAATTCATTTTTGAGGCCTCATTATAAACAATTCTTTTCATGTCTAACAACAAGTGCAATGCCAATAGCTATAAAGTTTCTAGACCAAGAAATTGTTCCATGTAAAATCATGAAACATAATCTATGATTGGATTTCCCTCGGAGAATTAAAAAAAAAAGAAAAAAGAACTTGCAATACTATTAAAAATATTATATCACAATGCAAGATGAAAAGGATAAAGCATGGTTCTCATACATTCCTTGATAAGAAGAACAAAAAGTTGTTAAAGTATGTCTTACTCTTCCTCAACAAGAACTATGTATTTCTCTTCAACTACAAAGTTATAAATTATCATTAGTCCATTATTTAGTTTCCTCAGTAGGAGATTGCCGTGAATGTTATTTAGTACCTCACTCTATTTATTATCTGCTAAAGCTGAATTAATATGCATGTTACTATCATATATTTTTCTCAAAAACATTTGCATCATTAAACATTAATCAACAAAGGGTTAGAAGTATCACATCCAAAATCCAAACAATATTGAATCCAATGAAGGATTTTTCCTACAGACTACAAAAGAAACACTACATAGTCTTTGGAAAAAATAAAATTAAAAGGGTAATACTGTTGATCATAAACTGCAAAGATAGCAACGGAAGAGACCTGCCCTAGAGAATTTTAAAAACATTAGTCAAGGAATTTTAAACTCCTACCTGGATGTTAGGTTTATTAGAACTTCCAAAATAAGGAATTAATTAACAGCAAAGAAGCAAATAATTGCTTTTGCGTTGTTAACAACAAATGTAGAAAAGTGAGCAATGGCACAGCGATCTCTTTCTTGGATAAATATTTTGCTTCTAGGATATAGATTTGTAGAAACTCAAAATTACTTTGCAAATAGTTTTTGCTTTAACCAATTGAACGTCAACTATGTCATGTCTCTTCACTTGTTTGAAGTAAAACAATAAATCATGCCCTTAGTGTGTGTAACATAAGCATTACAAATTGCCTGGTTTAGTTAGGGAGGCATGAGAAATCATTTTGTTACCTGTAGCAAACCTGCCTTATTGTTTGATATTGCTTGCTGCTCTTTTAGATATATGGAAATGACATTTAGGCTAGACAATCTTGTTGAAGTTTAGTTTAAAGTAAATATTGCTACACCATTTTGTTTAGTGAAGACACACACTGAACTTCAAAAAGGTTGAGTTTGTAAACTTATCAATAGAGTATGAAATCTTTGGTGATCTCTTTTGTGCCTCAAAACAATGCAAGGAAAAGAAAAAAGCTAACAAATTTATAAAAATTGAAAATCAAATCATATTAAAGTTACAAAATGAAAAGTACCTGCAAACGTGATAACCCACTCTTAGACCCCTGATCTAGTGGGCGTTGCACCAAGTTTTGCCAGTAGCTCTTGATGGAAAATGGCTGAAATCTCAAGAAGGCCATAAGCGAGAACAAATCAAACGAACTGTTCTGAATGGGCGTCCCTGTCACCACCCACCTTCTCTCGGCCTTCAGAGCTATGACAGCCTTTGTCTGCTGAGCTCCAAAGTTTTTAATCACGTGGGCTTCATCAAGAATGACTCTAAACCACTCTGTTTCCTTCATAGGTGAGCTCAGATCACCAAACTCAGCAGACAGAGTGGTATAGGTTGTCATAACAATGTCATATTTCAAAAGCTCCTCCGGTTCCCTTGTGCGTTCTCCGTGATACAAATATACCTTCATGCTCCTGGGCCGAGTATGTTCTTCCAGTTGAGTAATCCATGATGTTAATACAGAAAGTGGACAAACAACCAACGTTGTTTTCAGTCCTAAAGCTTCGTTCTTCTGAACTTCTCCGTCATCAAGTTTACGTCTTTTACATGATTTGACAACTGTCTTACCAGATCTTGACTTTCTACCTCTCGAAGAATTTATCCTTTCATCTTCTCCCTGCAGATTCCTGGTGGAAGAACTAGGAAATCCACCAGGCTTGTTAGTGGCAATCAAAGAAAGCAGAGTGAGGGTCTTTCCCAAGCCCATATCATCAGCAAAGATCCCACCTTTCAGCGGCTCCGGCCTCTCCGAAGTCTGGTGATTCGTCAACACATTCACATAACTTCCATCTCGCATTTCCCAAAATGGCGGCAGGTCACATGAATTCTCCCTCCCGACCAACCATCCCAGCCCTTCCTTCTGGTGCTCAAACAGTTCCGACACGATTACCTCCTTCGGTGGCTTCAAAGGTGCAATTTTTCCCTCATCACCCTTCCCGACAAGAGCGAAGATCTTATCGACGCTCTTCCCGTGCTTCCCCGACTTAGATTTCTTGGAATTCTCCTCCTGTACGATGGCGGCCTCCGAGAGGCCGAACTCATGGTCATCGTACTCGATGAGCTGAAGCCCTCCTTCGAACACGGCGGCACGGACGACGGGGATCGCGTCGGGGCGGGCAAAGAGGTGGATCTGGCATGGAAGGCGGTAAGGGTTGCGGTTCTTGGAGGGGGGCTTGGGGACGATGGCCTCAACGGAGACGAGGCAGGAGTCGAGAAGCGGGGCGAGGGCGGCGGCAGCAGCGCGCTCGATGTGGCCAACCTGGACGGTGCGGGTGTTGAGGACCTTGATAGCGTTGGGGTCGTAGGGGTTGAGGGGCTCGCGGACGAGGCCGACCATCTCGCGGCCGCTGATGGTGCCGGTATAATAACGAAGGCCGACGATGTTGGCGATGACGAAGCCGACGAGGACGGCGTCGGAGGGATGCTCCTGGGAGTCGTAGGCGGAGGCGGCGGCGGCGGCGGCATCGTAGTCGTCGTCGTCGATTAATCGACGCCAGAGTTGCTGTTCCTCCTGCTCATCCATGGACGGATGAGGCGGGCGGGGTTTGGAGAGGGTTTGAAAGGGGTGAAAGAAAGCGACGGAGAAAGGCAAAGGTTAAGAAAGGCTTTAGTGGCGGTGGAACGCATTCCGTCACTGTTCATTTCTTGGTGAAGTATGAAGGTCGATTTAATTAGAAAAAGGAACCGTTAATCTTAATATTGGTGAGGTGACAGCAACATCAAGTAATTAAATAGTTTCTAAAGGAAAGCAGCGTTAAGTAATAATATAAACATATTTATCTTTGAATCCAGAGGCCTATATGTACTTTTAAAAATTCAAATAAATTAATAGTGAATAAAACATTAAAAAATGTTTTGATTTTCTTTTTAAAGCTCAAATAGTTTAAATAATGAACGATTTTAAATTTTAACTATAATAAATGGTATAATATTTTTTTCAAATATAAATTTATTAAGATCTCAAAGTTGTACCAAAAGAGTTGTGTTAAGTTATTTCGAACAAAATGAATCCTCTCATACAATATTACATTTATGTAGCTTTTCCAGCAACTCGATTTATCGCTTGATTATATTCACGAAAACTTGCATGAGTTATAGGAGGAGATTCCTAATATCTGTAACAATATGTGCCGTGAATCCTTATTGTTTGTTAGCAAATCGGCTGCAATAGTATCTGTCAATTGCAAATTGTACTCCCATCTTTACTGTTCTACCTCACGTTGTAAGATAGTTTTGTTTAAAAGGTGGATAAGTCCTGCACGTAGCAACTTCCTGTTATCATGCTTTAATATAAATCCAGCTCTTCCGACCGTGCACCGCCCGCGCGTAAGAGTGGTGGAACGCAGCGGCGACAGTTGAGAAGTTTTAGGGTTTTTTCTTTTTTAACTAAAAAATAATATTTATCTCTAAAAAATTCAGAAAATTGTAATCAGTGTTCTTAAATTTATGTTTTTAGTTATAACCTTCAGAAATCAAATATTATCATTATATATCCTAAATAAAATTATAATTTTGTCCTTAAGAAATTAATTTTTTTTACTTATGTTCTTAATTATAAAATTAATTAATTAAATTTATTTTAATCAAATATCTTAAAAATAACTATATTTTAATTACTTGATTGGATTTAGATTCAATCAACTAAGTTTTGATCGAATTCGAAAAAAATCAAATCTTGATTTTTGACTTTTGATAAACTTTAATTTTTAATTATCTTATTTGGGTTGATGTTTAGCTAAAATTTATGTTTACCCAATCGAATATGGTTGACTTAAAATTATGATTTTCTTTTAAACTTTTCTCATATAACATATTAATAAAATTTTACATGTGATAATGAAAAATCTAATTATTATTCTTAAATATTTATTTGGTTATTCACATATATATATTTAAAATTATAAAATAATATTTATTTTTTACATAAATGTATGATTTATGGTTATAATTATTATATAAGTTTTTTAATACTCTCAAGAGAAACAAAAATTGATAACTTACCCATCTAAGAAAAATTGCTTGCTTTTATACTTCAAAGTTTCTCCTTTTTTTTATGACAAAGGGGGAGAAGTTATGATGATATAAGATTTTAATATTTGAAATTATACATGTTATGATGTATCTTAATGATTTAAAGTTATACCCAAAGTTATGATATTTTAAAATTTTTTTGTTTTGGAATTATGCACGATGTATCTTAATGATTTAAAGTTATACCCAAAGTTATGATATTTTAAATTTTTTTTATTTTGGAATTATGCATGTTATGATGCCTTGATGATTTAAAATTATGTATGATCTTATGATGATAATATATGCAATATGCATATGAAGTAATGATTACTTTGATATGATGTGTTGCATATGATCACTATGATTCATGATTAAAATTGTTTTAACTTAAATTCAAAAATATTATGATTAGAAGGTTATCATTTTCTGAATTCAAGTTTATTTCGATATGACATATAGATAGGGAGAGTTTAGTTAAAACTCCATCATCAATTAGTTATCATCATCCTTAGGGGAGATTGTTAAATCTCAGATTTTGATGATGAAATTAATTGATGAGTTTATAATCTAATCAACGTTTGTGTAAAGTGATGTAGGACTAACTTCGATTATGAAAAGACAAATCGATTGAAGCAAGAGAATCAGACGTTAATTCAAAGTTAGAGATTGGGGATCAGGCTAGAAGGATCGAACATTGTGCTAAGATTGGATGTTGCAGGAGTCAACATGCCGATGGATTGAGCAATACATTGAAGGAAATCATGACGTGTTGGGAGTTTGGACGAAGTGTCAGATGAACCAATGACATACTAAATAATATAGGATTTATTGGGAAATCTAGGGTGACATTACATGTGTAGTGAAAGAATAGAAAACAAAATTTTAGATTTTCACAGAAAAATTAGTCTCTTGTCGTCATGCACAAATTGGTACTTAAAAACCTATGAAATCAAAAAATTACGCATATAAGAAAGATTATATTACCTAGGGAGATCCTATAACCCTTAATTCTTGTAGATCTGTAGGAGAGGATAAAGGAGATCAATTGTACTCCTCTTTAGCAGTGATCCACACGGTAGGGACTACAAAGATGCTTCTCAAATCGTTGCCCAAATCTCCTCTTTGCACGCACCACGCAATCAAGAAGGGGCTACCCCTTCTTGCTATTCACATGCACCAAATAGAGGCTGCTAGCTAAGGAGGATAGGGGGAGAGGAGAATAGGAGGTGATATCTAAAAAAGCTTTGCCTATGACCCTTTAGTTTCCTCCTATTTATAGAGGCCCCTTATCAACTTAACCCTAATGGATCCTACCATATTGAGTACTGGATCTTCATTCAACTATGCAAGCCTTTTAGATTAGTGGGTCTCTACACAATAATCTCTCATTGGCTCTTATTGGATCTTATCCATAGGATATAATAATTCAGGGGCTTATCACGTATCCAATAAGATAGGGGCTCTAGTGGATATCTCATATCGAACCTCTACTCGTCGCAACACCTATCATATGTGTGTGACCCTCTAGGCCCAATATTGAGCTGGTTGTGAGTTATATTTGTTAGAACTCCTTCTTACTTAGTGGATTATTATCTCTATAATAATTCACTTGACTCATCGACTACGGACGTACTAGGCCACTACGACGTAGTCCCTAAATGATACAAGGGAATCTAATCCATTGGACATGTATGTCCTTAGTTACCATGTATCTATAGTCCCTCATCCATTTAATATCCCAAAGATCGTATATTGGGCATGGTGCTATCAGGCCTATACGGTTTCTACTCGAGTCTCACTCTAATCGAATTCTCTCGGAGAACTCTTTCTCTTTTAATCCGTATGACCTTGGCTAAGAATTTGTCTAAGCAAGAACATATGAGATATTCCTCTCATGACACTAAGAGAAGATTATCTTCTATTGATACTCAATAGCTCTTGTAAGGTTGGCTATTTCTCCCAATGACTGACTGTGCTAGATCTAAAACTTCCAAGCCTATAAGTCTGGTATCAAAGAGTATAGTACTCATATAGAACATTCTTGGTGTCTCAAATCTATAGACTAGATACACTATTGAGATGATGAAATCGATATCTGACAATGATGAATCATCAACTATCCAACATTTCATGAGCGGATCAATCAGTGAACTTATTCTCTAATTAGCACCTATGTGGTATCCCTAGTGTCCCTACACGAGCAGTTATGAGACTAGCCACCTCCATTATATAGACAGGTATAGAACATACCAATTGATCGAGTCATCTTGATGTCCCTCTCGAGTGACTTATGACTGAGATTATTTAGGGTCTGTGTTTAAAGGTGAATTAATCTCATTATCATGATCTTATCACGATTGAATTCTCATTATACAAATCCACATATATCACAATATATACAGCATACAATATAAAGTGATAAAATATCAAATAATATAATAAGCAAAAAGAATGTGTATTATATCACACGTACTATCACTTACGTGAATGGCTTACAGAGCACCTATGACTAGCAATCACCCACTTGACCTAAAGTCAATCATATGTGTCTGATCCCCATCAGACCCCTATGACGCTTAAAGACAATATGAGATAATGACTTTATCAGTGGATCCGTGATGCTATCTTTGGATGGAACTTTTTCCACTACTATATTTTCTCGGGCCACGATCTATCTGATAATGTGGAACCTCCTCAGAACGTGCTTAGACTTTTGATAAGACCTATGTTTCTTTGCTTGAGTAATCGCCTCGTTGCTATCGCAATATAAGGGAATCGACTCCTTGCTACTCGACATGACACCTAGCTCTGTGATGAACTTATTCATCTAGACTCCCTCCTTTACTGCCTCTATCATAGCAATGTACTCTACCTCTATAGTCGAGTCAGTAGTAGTATCTTACTTGGAACTCTTCGAGCATATCGATCCTCCATTCAAGGTAAACATATACCTTGAATTAGACTTGCTGTCATCGGCATCAGATTAGAAACTTGAGACCGTATAGCTCTCAACCCTGAGGCTACTACCTCCATATACCAGTAAAAGATCCTTAGTCTATCTCAAGTACTTAATGACAAATTTTACTGCTTTCTAGTACTCCAATTCTAGATCCGCCTAATACCTGCTTGTGACACTCAAAGCATGTGCTATATTAGGCCTAGTATATAGCATAATATACAAGATAGACTCTATTACTGAGGCATAAGGTATTCTATCCATGCTTGCCCTTTCTTCAAAAATTTTTAGGGACATACTTTTAGAAAGCAATATCTCATATCTTATCGGTATGAGACATTTCTTAGAATTTTTCATGCTAAACCTTTTGATAATGGTGTCTATGTACCTAGATTGAGATAAGCCAAGCATCTTATTAGATCTATCTCTATAGATCTGAATCCCTAAGATATATAAGATCTGATCGCCTCATCAAATCTTATGTTCCAACTTCGAAAAGCTTGGTTCAGTCTATAAATGAACCTAAGCAATCTGCACACCTTATCTATGTTGAATCTCAAATTTGATAATGAAATTAATTGATGAAGTTATGATCTAATATGCATTTGAGTGATGTAGGACTAACCTCAATCAAGGAAAGATAATTCGATTAAAGAAGGA